TGGACTGACCGCAGCCCCCCATTCCCCATGGGGGATGGAAGGATGGGATGAAGGAGTGAAGTTGAAGCTGAGAAGAAGCAGCAGGGGAAAAGGTGGTATTTTAGTGTTTGTCTTTTTGTTTCCCACTAGCTGAATCAGTAAGTAAATATTTATTTTAATTTGCCATAAATTAAGTTTATTATCACCAAATCAAGTCTGTTTCGCCTATGATGGTAGTTGGTAACTGATGTCCCTGTCATCATTCAAACCCATAAGCTTTCTCGTTCCTATTCTTCCTATTTTCTCCCTTCATCCCACTGAGGTGGGGAGTGAGCAAGCAGCTGGGTGGGGGTTTTGCTGTAGGCCCAAGGCAACGTCCCACACAGGTAGAGGATGACTTGGAGAACTCAGATTGATGGCAGTCCAGAAATATGCAAATACAGAAATATATCAAGCATGAAGGAGAACAATTGAAACAAATGAACAATATTTGCAAAGGAATAAATGGGTAAAAGCAGAACTGATGAATGCATTTACATTACGAACTCCAAGGGGGTGATTTTCAATCCACAAATCTGCAAATCTCTTCCTCTATGAACAGGGCGGGCAAAAGTATTAAAAACAGCTAGGACAACAAGCCCATTTGAAAAAAAAAAAAAAAAAGCCAAGCAGGGTCAATTCATAACCTAGCTTACATGACAGTGAGTATCTGTAGTAGCATTAGACAATTCCTGTGACATGTGAAGTCTCCTTTTTTTTATTGAGAGAAGTATTTTACCCAAAGAGAAAACCCTAGGATACTTGAGCTCCAATTGAAGAGACTGGAATATTAATTTAAAATCTGAAGTAATTTCGGGACAAAGAATGAAGATTTCATCCCTAAAATTACATTTTCTGACAGCTCCTTCCAGTGAGATTGAGACTGCAATTTTTAGTCAAGTCTATAAGCAGTACAGTATATTATGAATAACATCAGGATCAAAGTTCTTGTTCAACAGAATTCAGCTTGAGAACGATGGAGCCTGCAATGAACACCTTGTATAATAGGGTCAGTTTAACAACAACAAAGTCATTTTAGAATTACATCAGCTATGTGTACTATGCACATCTATTAAAGGCATAACTGAAGGCGTTGTTCCTGCATATTCAATAACATGTGAGTCCATCCATGCATTTCTCCTTGCTTCCAGATGACAGCATGTTTCAGTTGTAAAGGAGATCTTGGATCATCATTCAGAATCCACTCTACTGAGACCAACTGCAGCCTCCTAAGAGCTTTTTGGAGTCCTCTGCATTGTTCAAAAACTCCTTCAAAGCTACAGAAATGTCCCTCTTGAAGAAAGACATTTGCTTCAAAAGTTTTGTGTGTCATGTTACAGCCAGTTATTGGAAAAGGGCAGAGAGTACTACCATCAAATCCCAGTTCAAGCAAAGACTGCCTTCTAGGAGGCTGAGCAAATCCGTTAGCCCCTTTTCTCCAGCAGAAGTGAAAATGTAAATCCTTACACCTGTAAAGTGGAGACAAAACCATTTCCTTGCCACAGAGGAATGTGCCATGGTTACATAACATGACTAAAATGCTAAGTGCTAAAGTGATTAGGATCCCAGATATTTAAAGAGAGAAATCTTATTTTCTTAGAAGATTTTCAAATAGAACAAAGCTCCAGCAAATTGAGCGTGGAAAATAATCCTCCACTGTTCTCACTCTCCAGCAAGCTAGATGAACTTATTTATCTTTCACAACACCAATTTCTATGGCTCTCTGCTGGAAAGCTGCTAGGGCTATAGGCAAACAGAAACTGATTCAGCTACTCAGAAGGAACAGAGTATCTGGGAATAAGAAAATTATCTATGTAGGAGGTTTGCCAGCAATTTCAATAAATTACAATCTAAAAGATAATACCATGAAATGAAAAAGTCCTTTTTAATTAAAAACTCCATTAAAAAAAGTATGTATATACATTTAGCTCTATAAAATAAACGCAGGCTCAGAGTTGCTCAAATTCTGGAATAATCTAGTTTTAAAAATTAGACTTCTAAATGAAATCTAGAGTTTAATGGGGTCACAACTGTCTTGACTAAACTTAGTCCAAACAAGTGCAAAAGAGATACACATTGTTTTTGGAAGCTACAAGAAAATCATTGATACAAATGAATTGTTATTTCTCTTCCCCTTGGGTTGCAAAAAGAAGTGAGACTGTTAGTTTTAAGAATCAGCTGGGAGTTCTGGAATTAATTAAAGAAACACAGCCTCTTCAGAATTCAGATGTATTTAAATTAAGTATCTGGTCCCTGTATAGCCCAAGGGGAGAAAGAGAGACTTTCAAGGTAATGTTCAGAGCACCGAAGGTAGTATCTTGCTATTGTGCCACTTTAGACTGGACGCTCTCTGCATCTCTGATGCAGAGGGACTATCTGGAGCCAAATAGCACAATTTACAGCCATAAAATAGCTAAACAGAGTGAGGCAAAGCAAAGATTAAGTGAGATTTGTGTCTTGTTCAAAGTGACATCAGCAATTTCTTGCATTAGTGCCAGACCATTTTTGCATCATGTCTTGCGGGAGACGGAAAGGCCTTTAACAAAGTCCATTAGATTTTTGGATATGCTATTGATTTAAATATATTCATTTTTTTTCTCCCCTTGAGCTTTAATCCTCTTTCTTTGGCATTTTTTATTCTCTACCCAGTGGAACTACATAGGGATGTATTATTGAAATGTTTGTAGTTTCCTCCAGAAGAAAGTAAGTAGACTTAATGTAGTAGATAGATATATTTCAACATCTTCCACACTGGAACCATTATGATGTGGCAATGTCATTTACTAAAGCTGAGAAGAGGTAACAGGAGTGCGCTACAAAGCTGTATGGTGGGTTGAGCGGACCATGTGCAAGTGTAGGGTATGGGAGACCTGACTTCTCTGCTGCTGGTCTACCAAGGGTCTTTGATGCACAAAGTCAAATTACTTTCTTACTCTCTCTGTAAGTAAATTGAAGTTAAAGATACTGAGACCCACCTGAAGTCCTTCATGCTCTTTGACAGAGGACCAAATGTTGTCACAGTTTTACAATATCCTGAAAAGTTACCTGCAACTGAAAGGCCAACTTCTGTCTGGAGCAGAATCCCAGATTGCAAACATTGGACCCTCATGAATAGCTTTTCATTGTATGTCTGTCTTTAACAAGGCAACAAGCAGCTTGAGGTAACAAGCTGTTTCCAAGAAAACCAATGCAACTGCTCATCCAACTGATTTGCTACTTATCTTGGTAAAATAAGACATCCAGGATTAAAACCTAGGTTATTCTTCACATTTAATTTTGACTTTTTAAATCAGAACTTTCCAGGTCTTCTGCCAGTTTCCACCATGGTTTTATACTTTCCAGGAATAAATCAATTAATATTTCTGTGCCCTTACATAGGAGCTAATATAGTCGAGGTGTTAAGGGACATCTTCATAGAATCCTGTGCACTCACATTTATACTTTAAACACCTCCAAAGGTGCTAAAATCAGGGACCTGAGGTCCCTATTATAATCTGCGGAGAGAGGGTGGCATTTTAGCATGAAACTGAGAACACATCAATTAGATGCCTGAAAAGATGAACTGACTTCAAGCAGGAGCAACACACAGGGCTGCCAGATACAGAGCATGAGTTTACAGACTTGTCACCCAGCATCCCTTCCATGTGATAGCATGGAAGCAAATCAACAAATTAGCAAATTAACACATGCCTTGACTCCTCTGTAAGGATCCTGGCAGTGGATCCCATTTGCTAACACCACACTTCAGAATAGAGGGCAGCTTGTTTTTAACAAGGATGTATTTTCTTCCAAAGCACAGAGTCCTTGTTCCCCACAGCACCTCAGAACAAGGAAGGACTGAGTGTTCAAACTGAAGTTCCCTTTTCATCTTCATCAGGTAAATCTCTCGGTGAATTTTAACATTGGTGCTGGCACTGTCAATGTTAATACTGTACCTGCTTTGTGGCTGAACGGAGGGTGCTAGTCTACCTGGATGCCAGTCTAGCAAATATATCCAGGGCTAACTGATGCTCCAGGGAGCAATTTCAACTTTGCAAAAAGGTACTCTCAGACATACAGCAATCATCATCTTGAAAAAAAAACCAAACCAAACCAAAACCCAAGTATTCGATTGTCTGTGTAGCAGACATGAAAAATCTTCTTGTTGTAGGCAATAACTGTTACAAAGAACAGAATTGCTGCTTGTGGAGCAGGAGGCAAAGAGTTCAAAATGAATGAATGCATCTCATTGGTTGCAGTAACCTTTATGAAAAATCTGCTTTATAAATCCAGAGAACCTCTAATCCACTAACATAGAAGCATATGCTCGATTTTAAGCTGTATATAATATAATGGATAGCTATAATTGCTTCAAGAGAATAAGGGACAGTATGAGCCAATACGTACTGTAAGTCAGGCAAGATATTTATTTTGTCAGCAGTTGGAACATACAGCTGCTCATGTTTGTTAATATTTCACATTCATCACTACATTTATTTGCTTACTTACAAACTGGTATGAAGTGCTACTTCTCTTTCCAGTCAAACAAATTACAAACTGTAGATATCACAAACATTATACAGAAATATGATTTACATGTGAATGGGAAACAAGGATGAAAGGGAAGGGAGACAGAAACAGGTGCTCACTTTTAGAGATTTAAACCAAATTCTACTGATAAAGAGGATCTGAAGGCTTGGAAGTCTGTGCTGCATGTCGTGTACACAGTAATGTACCCACTCAGTTTAATATTTGCCAGGCAACTCGCAAAGCCCTCTCAGGCTACAGCAGCATATAATCTCCTTGAATGTTTTCCTGAGCTCCTGACTCCGGAATGCATAGATAAGTGGATCGATGATGGAATTGCACATGATGAGGATGAGGTAGAAATTGAAGTGGGACATGAAGCACACACAGTAAGGGTTGTAGGGACAGGAGATGTAGAAAATCAGGTGCAGGAAAAATGGAGCCCAACACACAACAAAAACTCCAATCAGGATGGTAAGAGTGATGGCCCCTTTCATGTTGGCCCCTTGACGAATAGGGCCAGTCCCTGGGAGAACAGCAATCTTTTTTATATGCATCCGAGCCATCATAAACATGTGGACGTAGAGGGATGCCATGAGAATGAGCATAGTGAAGAACATGCTAATAAGGCAGATGATGACAACACTGCTGTCAGAGTAAATGATGAACAAAATGCCCGAGACAGTGCAAGCAGCCCAGATGCATGTGATGATGACCCCTACGCGCTTCACCGTCATGATATTATGGTACTGGAGGGCATAAAAGATAGTAAAGTACCTGTCCACTGCTATTGAGAGGAGACTGCAAATTGATGCAAGCAAGGAACTGCAAATCACTGAGTCAATGACATTGTCAATGTTTATGGTAAAGCTCTGTGCGTCTGTGTCTGTGTTGTTTAGCAGCGTGATGACAATAGTTTCTGATCCGTTAGATACACTCACTAGCATGTCAGCCACTGCCAAGCTACAGATGAAGAAGTACATGGGCGAATGGAGGTTCTTGTTCTTGGCTATTGCCACAATGACCAAGACGTTCTCCAGCAAGCTGATGATGCCCAGAGTGACAAACACTTCGGGGGATACAAACAGTTGCTCGTAGCAGCCTCCTGAGGAGTGGCCCTTTGCATTGGGCTCGCTGGCACCTCCATGCAGTCCGTGGCTGTGGTTCCAGAAATGGAGAGGCTGGAGTGTCCCGCGGTGCTGGGTGACATTCATCTTATGGAGATCCCCTTTCAGCTTCCTGCTTTTAAAACTCCTGTTCCTTTCGCATTCCTTTGAAAACCTTCTGTGGCTTTTCAGCCTGAGAAAAAAAGAAAAATAAGCTAGCACCAAGGCAGGCAGCAGTTCAGAACATTTTGACTGCTGTTACAAAATAAGGCTTCAAACTCAGAAACACTGGCTTACGCTCTCACAGATGCAGTTTCTGATCATCATCGCATTTACCTTGGTGATCTATGTCACAGAGTCCCAACAGTCTGTAAGTTTGCATCAGATTCTCCCCTATGGTCAGTTCCTGTTTAGTTCACTGGTATGCTGTAAGGCTTTTTTGTTCCCTCCCATTAAGAGATGCAAACATAAAATGCCCAAGTGACTGCTGCGGAGCAGAAACTAATTTCAAACTGCAAGCACCGGTCTCGCTGTCAGACAGTACATGCTGGCTGCCTGTTTTATGGTGTGTGGAGGAGAAAAATATTCAGGGCACTCTCCGCCTCTGCTTTGCCTTCCAGCCAATGGGGCTCGGGAGCTGCAGAAAGTCGAGGGGCTGCTGATTCTGAGCCTCTCTGAAACATCACACAGCACAGTAGATTCAGATGCAGCATGAGCTACCAGAAGCTACAGGAAAGCAGATGGGCTACCAGAGATTTGTTTCCCTTCTTTAACTTCTCAGAAGAGTATTTTAATACTGATTTTTAATTAGCAATTTTACCCAACTGTACTAGCAATCTTACAGAGTTTCTGCAGCTGACCTGATGGCTTTTTATTTTGCAGACTGTGATTTACTATGATTTACTCTTGCCCCTTCTGTGGCACAAAGTTTTTCTGCCTTGTATATGTGGCAAAATAGGAAAAGGGCAAGGAAGCAAAAGAATACTTATTTCCTCTTGATTCTCTCTCCCAGATCTCCCTTGCATTGCTAACTTTTCTATGCCTTAGTTGTCTGTTTGCAAGATGTGTTGTTGCAAGGTTGCATTATACTCTCTAAGCTTCTTACAATTATTAAGAAATGGAGACAATCTGAGGACCAAAACCAGAACAAGGAGCCAAAGACACAAATGGCTTAATAAATTGTCCTAAGGAAAGTATTTTTTGCCAGGTAATAGCCTTCTTCATTGTCTTATTTCCAGGAAGGAAAAGATGATGGAGTTGATTGCAGAAGCCCTGTCACCATCAGGAATAAGGATGTTGGGCAGAAAAAGAAAAGTCAGTATTTAGAACGGGTGAAGGAAAGCAACACGAGACAAAGTTGCAACCTGTAAGAAATGGGTCTCATACAATGGCAATGACACAAAGGCATCAATAAATCTCCTAAAAGTCCACCCGAAGGGTGGTCCCTGTGCTTATCTGGCATGAGATGAAAGTCAGCTTGTGTGCAGTTTGCCAGGGAAAGCCCTTGAGAAGGAGGAAAAGAATGCCAAATGAATATGAAGAGACAGGGACTAAAGTTGTTTTGGTGTTTCCAATTTGTTGCAATCGAGGATTGAAAATCAAATATACTGAACAAGCCCTAAAGTACAGGTGGATTTTAAAGCTATGGAAGCCACAGGAAAGTCTGTCACTACACCTGAGGGTAAAGTTTGCAAGGAAGTTGTCTGAATGAACATATCCAGTCAACTACCAGGAAAGCTATGGAGGGGTCGTATCTGATGCAAGAGTCTATATTCTTCAACCTTTCAAACTTTGTTTATCATCTATGCATTAGCTGGTTTTAAAATGAACAGCTATAAAGAGCTACAGGAATACAGCATGTGTGTGGAAGCACAACTATCTGTATTCAACATCCCAGCAGCAGGGTGAAGCATGATTTTACTTTCACATTTGGATTTGCTGTAGATCTATGGTTATAAAGACCTATATCAGAAGAAAAGCCTCAGCCAATTATTTCTGGGCCTTTCCCCAGACAGATTGCTTCATAAAGCTGAAACATAAACATCCAAGACAAACAAAATAACCTGCAGCACAGGAAATCCCACATTTATCAGTTTGGAAAACATCATTCACCAGCAGCATCCTTGCAATGAAAGAATAGCTTGTGGCTGAGAGTGTGAGATTTACTTTCCTATCAAGACATAATGCAAGTCAGGATTCAGAAAGATTTATTATCTAGTTACTGATCCCTGGGCCAGTATACACTAACTCGTGCCACAGAGAGGAATTGCATACCTAACCCTTAAGGACATAGCTACAATGTGAGAGCAGTGAGAAAATTTATATAAAGACTGTTGTGGGAGAGCAGCAGCTCCCCAGACAAGGTGTTTTTCTACACCTGCAGCCAGAAATGTGTAATCTTCAAGGTATCCCAGGGAAGCAGCCACTCAGCATCCCTTCCTTCATCACCCTTCTCCATGCTGGAAGTATCCACGGCACAGAGATCTTTCTACTTCACCTACTTAGGTGGAGCCAGAGGAGGAGATGCTGGCAAGAATAGAGAGAAGCTACCTCCAGAGGATACTGCCCTGTTCGCTCCAGCTGTCCGTCCATCTATCCCTCTTCTGGCTCGTCCCCTTCTCTGCACCTTATCTCTGTTCTCATCCCCATTTATCTTTCCATTTACTGTCTCTATTCACCCAGAACCTATCCAGACAATGCTCCGTGTTTGATTTTTCTCTGGACATAGTCATAAAAATGCAATATTGGTTATAACAAAGGAAAGAAAAGGACACTTCTCTCCCACCCACAGCCATCACTCACCTCAAAATATCTACTTATGCTCTGCATTCTTGGGGCAAGGTTGTTTTGGTGTGTTAGCCATTCATATTTGTGGGATGAGAGTGCATGACTGGAAGCAGTAGACTTATGGTAGCTTAGCAACTCAAGTTGAAGCACTGAAGAGGCGATGTACCATTAGCCTGCTCTGACTAGAAGGTTAAACAAGTTATATGAGCACTTTTTTAAATGAGAGAAGGAAGATGTGCGTACATCTAAATACTTCTATGTATAGAAGATGGATACATGCCTCTGGCTCCCACTTAACAAAAGCCAAACCATATAATGTTAAAATTGTTCAAAGGATCCTAGCTCTCTTACACTTTAAAATATGTCAATATTTCAAATTTTTTAGTCATAGATAACAGGAGTATTGCCTAATATACATTGCCTAAACTGTTTCTTAAATTTTAAAAACCAAAGCTGAGCTAATATTTCTTCCAAAAGTGGTGGCTGGCAAGGGTTTCAGCAGCATGTAAAAATGGCCATGGCTGCAGAAAACTATAAACTGGTAACAGTGATTTAATAACATGCGCTCCAGCTCTTAAGAGAAAGAAAACATCACTGAAGATTTGATACCACCCTCCCCTTTTAACATAATGAGAAATTATAATAAAAAATAGTATTTTGATCTGTCTTTAAAAATGTCCATTTTAAGACTTCCTCCTACCCAATTCCCCCATGGCCTATGCTCTATTTCCAGCTACTCCCCGATGCCCACTCTCCAGATAGGGTTACAGCCATCTCCACTTCACAACATTTTGAAGAGCTGAATTATCCTCTGACAGTTGCCTTTGAAAGTCAGAAGAAAGCATTCATTGGAATCAACAATAACCAGGTAAAATCCCAAAAGTGATACAGGAACACAGGCAGAGTCATGAGTAGGCTGTATAGGTCCACTATGGGAGAAAAAGAAAGGTAGAGGGAGTTAGCACAGGCACTTCCCTGCTCAAATGAAAGGTCTGAGATCTCTTTGAATCCCACATCCATGTTGCTCAAGCACACAGATGATATTTACCACTTCAATAGCTGTCAGTGGAAACAGAGGAGGGATTGTGAGAAGCTGGGTAGAAGGAGGAGCCAAAGGAGCAGATTATTAATCAATCCCTCAGAGTTGTGCGAGTGTGCCAGTACTGTGCAAAGGGTGATGTTGCATTTACATGCACAAGTATAATTGAAAGAAGTTTTTGATATGTGTGCTTAGATCCATTTTTCAGTGCATTCAAAACCTCAAGTCCATAACACAGTAAAAAGACTGTAGTATAGCATGCTGGTTTTGAAATATAAAAAGGGCCAGGCAATTAAACTTTGGAAGCTTCTATGAGATTTTAGCCTGTATCATATCTCTATTTTACAGCAAAGGCAAATTCTGCCTAACACTCAAAATACTCACCAAAAATGGTTCAAATAATGCAATGTACTTTTCTATCCTACCCACAGATGTCATTGGAAGAAGCATTTCTTTGATTCTTTCTAGCTCCAGTAATTTAGCATATGAGCAATATGGAGACACTTGTTTGTAACAAGAAGCAGCAGTCACAGATTGTGGCTTGGGTATGTAACCTAAGTTCCTGCCCATCGTATCGTGACAGCCCTTTGATGAAACACCTTCAGTTTCTCCACATCCCTTTTGAACTGTCGGGACCCAGAACTGAACGTCATTCTGGGTACAGCCTCGCCCATGCCAAGTAGAGGGGGATAATAACCTACTTCAATCTGTCAGCTGTGCTTTTCCTAATGCAGCTGAGTGCCTGCTTTGCCCCATTTGCAATGATAGTACTCTTTTGGCTTATATTCAGGTTGACGTTCAACATAACCCCTTTGCTGACCGTTTCAGCAAAGCTGCTACTCAGACAGTCAGTGCCTGTTGTATACTGATGCATGGGGCTATTCCACCCCATGCAAAGAGCTTTGTACTTCTCGTTCACCTTCATAAATTTTCTGTTGACCCAATACTCACGTCTCCCAGTGTCCCTCTGGATCAAACCTCTGCTGTTTAGTACATCCTCCATTCACCCCATCAACTTACTACAATCTGCAAAGTTGTGGATGGTGCATTCTGTATTAACATTCCCTGTTACTGTTGGAGATATGAAATAATCATTCCCAGTAAAGACCCCAGGGTACTCCATTTGTTCCTGGCTATCGGCTGGACTGTTGCCCAGTGTTCAGTACATTGATCACTACCTTTTGAGACCATTGGTCCAAGCAGTTTTCTGCCCACCTGTGACATGCAAATGAAAACACTGGTCAGTGGAAAACTGGTCTAATACAATTTCATCCAGCCTTTTGTTTTGGAGTGTTGTTTGCCTCGTAATCTTTGTAATTTATTTTTAACTTTTCTGACTGGAAGTGAAAGCAGTTTTTAAGCCAAGGAGCTTCAGTGTTGAGAGCAGGAGTCTCTGCAGCAAGCAGAAGTCTCTGTAGCTTGCCTCTTTTCCTCATGTCTGTTAGTTAGAAGAGTGGGAGAACTCTTCAGCCAATCTGGCCACTGAAAAGCACAGAAATGTATATTCTGCTAGCAAATGAGACATTTGCACTTGAAGATGCTGTAAATGTGCAGAAGTGGTATGTTTTCCATTAAAATGGCATGAGGAGTGCAGAGGCTTTAAGCACTTAACCATTTAAATCTGATCTCATTTCTATTTTAAGCAACTGCTGTTGTGATCATGGAGATC